AGGCACCACAGACCCATGTTCCTATGGTGAAATGTGTTTGTCTTTACCTAAGCAATAAGGTTTATAACTATGTGTCCAGATAGTTACAGGACACTCTGTATAATGCTAATAAAGCTTTTCATTTAACACTTTAAGTCAGATCCACTTAATTTGTTATGCTTACTTTTTTCATTTGATTCATTTAGTTTTAAATTAAAACAGCTTTGTAAATAAAAGTATTTTTGATTTCATATCCAACTATAAGTGATCATTGAAAAGCGTTATCAAGAACCCTTGTATACGGACGTTTTTGTGTGCCGTTTCCACACCGCAAAACTTGATTATGACTCTTCTAATTGGATACAACAATGTTGCATTCCATGTATCCAAAACAGAATCCCGTACTGCATGAAAACGGCAAAACAAATCATCTGTATAAAAGGGCTCAATATGTTTTCATATTTGTTGATGGAGCATGTAATTGCCGATTACTTTTCTACAATATCAGCTGACAGGGCATGTATTGGGGTAATCTTAGTGAGGTCGGAGAGCGAGCTAAAGAGTGGTGGGGGAGGGGGCGGCTAACTTCGCTACCTAGAGGTGGCAGATAGTTAAATATGCCCCTGATTACATTAAGCACGGGTCACACTAGGCTGGCATCAGCGGCGAATTGAAAGAAGCCGCGACTGTCAGCTTAATGTGACCACAAAATTCGCAGCTGACACTGAGCTGACTCAGCCTGGATTGGTGAGCCGGTGATGCTGGTGCCAGCTGCTGATCACCAGTGCCTGGCGAACAGCTTAGTGTGACCCGTGCTTTAGTTAACACGTTCGCGGCGGCATGGGAGCGATCGCTCCCATACGGAACCCTAATGCCATCCTGGTGGGTGCGATCGCTCCCAAGCTGCAATGCAGTACGAAATGATTTATTTTTAAGCCAGGATTTGAGCTAGAAACTTGAAACCTCACACAGCACTGCTCAATAGTATACTGTATTTTGTTGTGGTGTAGGTTGGTAGTAAATTTCCCCGTCTGGCAATCTCAAAATTCTACTTTTGTCCCGTCTTTTTCCCTCCATTTGGCAATACAATTCCAATGGGACCGGCTACGTTACAAGCAGTGCTGCTATCTGTTGGTGTTTAGCGAACTACGTCGACTCTTGTTGTAAAGCAGGACATCCTCGCTCGTTATTTGCTATTTGTCAGACCGAAATTGAAAAGCCAATCACACGAGGCAATCGGGTTTGTTCGATGCTGAGGGCTGCGCCGCACCTGGGATACGCCCGCCATTTGACGTGCCGCCGCGAACGTGTTAATTTTCAGTCATGGTTTTGATTCAGTTTGCACTACATAATTTTAGCAGTTAGCAGGTATATAAATACACCCTGCTGCAGCAAACCTGCCGACTAAGTGGATTTCCATTAGCCTGGATTGATTTTCAATTAATCTATTATAAAGGATTTGCAATGTGAATTATCATTTATGTTTAACGAGTACCTAGATTAGCTGCTACAGGGAAACTAATAAAGTGTGTTTTCTACTAAAATATCAATAGCTTAGTATGAAATAAATAAATCTGCCAATAGTATTATCAAAATATATCCATAAACAAGCCAACTACAACATTTTACAATATTCTCTATAAGAATAACATGGGAATTTTAAATTAACTTTTTGAATTTTCTCCGTAACCAATCACCCTACAAACACACTTTGATATACTAAATTATTTGTTTTTGTAAGCTCTTTAAAAATTGATAAATTTTGTGTTTTAAGGGTAAAAATGAGAAAACCCCATTTTTACCTCATAATACCCCTCGATAAACCCCGTTCCCATGGTCCGATCATGCTGGTTCGCGAACTCATACCTTCAAACAAAATTTTATCAAAATCGGACAAAAATTACTCAAGTTATCGCCAGGACACACAAACACACATGAATATATATATGTTTATACACAGTGGTATAACAGAAGGGCCCGCAATGCGGGGGGGCCCGGGAGCTGAGGGGGCCCGCGAACCGGTGAGCAGAGAGGCCCGTGAGACGAGTGGGGCCGAAAAATTGGAGCTCATTCTTATTTAATTGTATTATCAATCATTCAATAATTGTATTGAACAAGTAATAACATTAATGTCATTAATAATATGTTGTTATCTGTTATCAATTAATTTCGTTAGGCCTCTTCAGTGATACCGAACTAGGGTAACAAATGTAGGCCTAATGTGTTATAACATGGGTCTTTGATTATTATGCAATCTTACTTTCGTCACCGAGAAATATTTTACTTCTCGGTGATTTCGTACACTGCTTGTCGTCTGCAAACATTAAGTTACTTTGGAGCCTGGAGTCATGAACGTTGGCTGTTGGCTGGGGCTTTTAATATTGTATTATTTTACATTTTAGTTTTGCCCTAATATTGATTGCATTTTGTTAAATACAATATACTGCAACTCTACTGGCTGTGTTTGTTAGCCCATATCTTATTTGACCTCACAATTAACCAATACTAAAGACATTTGTTGTAAGTTAAACGCTTGAAATCCATACAAAGATAAAATTAAAAAATGCAATACGCTATTTTAGGCTGTGATAAAATTACGTCAATCTATTAAATTAACCAACTTTTAGTTTTAGTGTATGAGTTAATTATAACCAAAGACTAAACTAACCTAATAAATTAATACTTTAATACTTTACTTTGAAATGGCGACCATACCAATGTAGGTATTTTAAGCCAAGAATTAATGGAGAGATGTGTAGGATGAGTGGCCCAACCTTTTAGTTTTGAATGGGACTAAGGCCGACATATTCATAAGACACAGACTAAGGGGCCGATAGTTTATAGGTGAATTCGAACCACATTTTTACCTTGTAACGAATTAGTCTAATTAATTATCTGGGTAATAAAATGGATAACGTGTGTGATAAATTAAATGTAAAACCTCCTTGATATAAACATTCTGATACGATGGAAAATAAGGTTTTTTTTATTTGATTTCAAAACTATTTAGCCTACACACACTGATATTGATATAATAATGTAGTGATGTAACATTTTCATCAAACCAAGACTGAAATACTTAACACACCCTTTTATGGAACATAACCCATAATTTATTTACTACTCTATATTTATGATTAATCTGTTTAATCATTGTAAAGGTGGTCCAAAAATAACTCTGGGGGAGGGGGAGGGTGTTTCACTATGTTGTATCGGTGGTCTAAAAATAACTCATGAGAGGGGGGCCCAAAAAATAAGTTTGCAGGGGGGCACGTAAAAATTTGTTACACCGCTTTTATACATATATAAAAATGTGAACGATGTTTTTGGCCTCTGGGGACATCAAAATTAAAAAGAAAATCAGTCCCGGGCCTAGGTCTTACCATGAGACCTACGATAATAGCTACTTTCCTATAGGGAAATTCGCGAAAAGAATGTTTTGATATTCTGTCAAAATATTGTTTTGTTGGGAGAGTGTTTAATTAAGTAAGGATCCTCATTTGGTAATATGAAGGAATAACTGTATCATAGGAGTAGAAAACCGTTTAGCCCCTATGAAGTAAAAAATCAGCTGTTGTACATTTTTATTGTAGCAATCGCATGGATCAAAATTATTTATGGATTGATTTATGGTTTTAGATAATTGTTGCATTCTTGTCAAAAGTTGCGACATATTACTGTTAAAATATACCGGGTCACAATCATAAACGAAATGAAACAGCTGCTTATTTTATTAGTAGAATTGAAAACAAGCTGGAAGTCGTTTTGGGAGGTTATCTTTAGGTTAGTTAATTAATGATGCAATATGATTAAAAATATAGTTCATCACACGGGCAAAAGGTGTCTATTCAACCCTTGCTCATTTTCCGACCTCGGCTTCACCTCGATAGGGTCAAATACCCCCGCCGCAGCAAACCTGCAGACTAAGCGAATTTCCATTTGACTGATTGGATTTACACTGAAATGTCTACTTAAAAATATAACATTTATTCCGGATTTAAATAGAATTAGTTTAACACGTACTTAGGTTTGCTGCATCAGGGAGGGTAAAATTGTTTTTTTTTTGTAAAATGTTAATAGTTAGTAAGAAATAAAAACATTTTCCAAATGTGATCAAAATATGTTCATAAACAAGCAAACTACAACAGTTTACTTATTCTCCATAAGAATAACATGGGAATTTTAAATTTACAATTTTTTGGAATTTTCTCCGTAACCGTTAGGCGCATAATAACGCTTCAATATACTAAATTATTTGTTTTTTTAAGCTCTACAAAATGGTTTGGAAATAAATTGCAAAATTTTAAGTTTTTTGGGTCAAAAATGGGAAAAACCTATTTTTACCCCATAAAACCCCCCGTAAACACCCATTCACATGGTCCGATCATGCTGGATCGCGAACTTGTTCGAATAAACGTAGGTTTACACGTTTGTACCAAATTTCATCAAAATCGGATCATTTTTGCTTGAGTTATCGTGCTGACGGACACATATATATATATATATAAATATATATATATATATATATGAATTTGAACGGATGGTGTTTTTGGCCTCTAGGGACCTCAAAACGAAAAAAAAAATCGGTCCCGCGTCCAGGTCTTACCATGAGTACTACGGTAATAGCTTATTCCCTATATGGGAAATTCGCTAAAAGAGTCACTTTAAATCCCAGTGATGAAATATACTATTATTGCGCACATATGTGATCACTATCAATCACTTATGTTGATTGCTTGTTGATCACAGGCAAATACCAATGTCCAGGAACCAGTGGTATTGATAATCGGTTTAGTATTACCAGATTATTTGTATTAATAGTGTATGGCATCACTAATTTAAATAGCACTAAATTGAGAACAAAATTTTACTGTCAAAGTTGTATTACTTTTTAGAACAACAATTTGAGTTGAAAATTAAAAAGTATGTAAATTAAAAAGAATGTTCCACAGTGTATTCCAATCTGATTCAACCTTATAGAACATTCTTAATAATACAAAGGGGAATAAAATAAACATTCATTCAATTATTGTTGTGTAATCGTTTGTTATACAAATACAACAGGAAAACTGAAAAAACAAAGTGATGAAAACAATAATATAAACTGATAGATATAGAAAATAGAGAGTAAAAAAGAGATAACTAATAAAGGAGGTGACTTTTGAAATACTACACATTACGATGTTTTTGGCTGCACCATAAATTACAAATATACAAACCAATCACAGATGAAATAAGTCCGCTTAACAGTGTTTGCAATAGTTGATTAATCGTCTTTACGTGTTAAACTGATTTTTTCGATAATTCGAATAACAAAATCGGCGTATCGGCGAGACCGGGATTCCTTTTGCGGTTTCTTCTTTGGCACATAAACAGAACAAGATAAAGAGTCTCAAATGGAAATGAGCTCAATACAAACCGGAGATCACCAGAGAAGCCTTAAGACCGGATCGACAGATACGTCTGCTAGATTAAAGCCTCAATGTTTCACTTTGACTGCTTCCAATTCACAGTTCAACACAACTCACTATTAAATAAAAAAAGAAACATGATAAAAACGCGGTGTCTTACTGCTCGACATTAGTAAAAAGGTAACTCTAGCGAGGTTCAAACACTCTGTAAGTGCACTGTGACTGGTGTGTTAGCGAGGTCCCCCACGCTGTGTGAAGCCAGCTCCTGGCCGCATGCCTGTACCTCCCCTGCTGAAGCCTCCCCTCTGTCCTCCACGATTCAGCCCTCCTCTCATGCCTCCTCCTCGGCCACCACCACCACCACCACCACCGTCAGAGCGAGGCTTGGTCTTCTTCTCTTCAACATTCAGCTTGACGGCGTTTTCACCAGGGAAAAATATAGGCTGTAAAAAAAATTTTTTTATAAACAAACTATTATCCCTTGGTAATTATTAAGAACTAGATTTTTTTATAGGACTTAATAAAGATTATGGTTTTGAGATGTTTGGATTGGTTTGATTATTAGATAAAGATAAGATGACCCTGCGTTTTCAACTTACTTTTTCAACTTACGATTTTCAACTTACTCCCTATGGGCCGTCCTCCTTAGGCGATATCCGATTACCTCGTACATAAAAAGGTTTGCTACACACATACATATGTGTTTGCTTGAAAATCCAAAAAATAGTGGAAATGTTTTTTGGGTTGATGGAAGTAAGTGTGGTGAATAGCTAAGAGGCAGTGACTCAGGGAAATCTTATTGTTGGAGCTGGTTGGAGACTTTCAGAACCCGAACAGCCAAAGACACGGTAGGCCATCTACAAACAATAAATGACTGTGCTATCTGCAGGAATAACAAGAAAAAATTCCAAGGACACTAGGCATGAGCCTACGACTTTTTCACATTACATCAGGCTAAAAAAAAAAGTTATGCTAGGGGTTGCAGCAATATCACTTTGATAAAATTTATTGGTGAATTGGCAGGTTTTGAACCTGGGACCTCAAGGACCAAAGTCCCGTGCTCTACCACTAGACCAGCTCGTTCCCCACTATCTGCAGCATTAGGAAGGTTCCAGGCCAAAGAAGGGAGACCCACTTCTACTGTGAGACATGTGATTGGAAACCTGGACTCCACCCTGGACAGTGTTTCAAGCGCTACCATACCATGAAAGACTACAAGCAGTCTTAGCTGAATAATCTAGGCTAGTTAGGATCCCTATGATCAAATTCTTAAATGCTAAATAACCAGGATTGATTAGGTACCAATGCCTGTTTTAAAATCTCAGAGTACGCTGATTTATATATTTTTTATCATTAGCTATATTCTTTTATCACAGTTCACTTACTAAAAATAAAACAAACAGACAATAAGAAGGAAAATGATAACAGTTGACAAAAGCTATTAAGAAACAATATATTTGTTTAGTTCTACTTTTTAGTATATAGATAATGATAATCTAATCCTTATATATAATACGTGAAGGCGATTTCTACGAAACACTACTCCTCCGATAATAATGGACGGATTTTTACAAACAATGTGTCAAAATTAAGTATTTTTTGTGTAGACGCCCCCTTTCACCAATTCATGTAATAACTGTCTTCGGGCTTTGCCACACAGGTCATCAAAATCCCAATGTACTTCTTGTGAAGAAAAGATTTTATTTACATAAACAGACGAATAATTTGTATTAATTACAGCTGTTCATAGTAACACACATGATACACACAAGAGCATCGTTTTCAGTTTCGATAACTGGAGTGGAGTGATTGATTACATTATCTTTGAGTCATTGGAAATTGTGACTGTTATTTGTTTTGAAATATAACACCTGCAATACTTTGCAATTGCTCGAATTCGAGCAACAGGTACACTATTATTATATAACTAGTGGCTTGAAGGGACATAAGTCCCTGAAAAGCTCAAATGTAAAACAAACTATTGTAATACAGTATAAACAAACTTAAATAAATCTAATACATATATGAGATATATATCCAAGTACAACATATCTTTTTTGTAAAAAATAGTTTGTTGTTTGTCTTTGTTTGCTTTTGTTGATGTTATTTTTAATAAATAATTTAAATTACTCCAAAGGTTTAACTCTGCTAAAGGCAGCAAACATGTTTGTGAATAAATATTAGTTTACTAAGGTAGCTTTGGTCTTTTGATAGTAAAAAGGCTTTCCTGATTAAAATATTGGAAATTGTCTTCGTCATATATGAAAAGACAAATAAAGGTGTGTTGAGATAAGCTAAGTTCTTAGTTAAAACCGCTAAATTAGCACCCCGTCCCAATTATGTCTAAGTGCATGCTCCTTTTGTAAACACTACAATAAATCTCAAATTAAAAATGTTAGTAAGTATACAAAAAAGTGTAGAATAAATCTTTAACTAATGTTTTGAAATCAAAACAAAGCAGAAGTTTTCAACAATCTTGAATCGATTAATATTTAGTCAATGTAGTTATTTCATGTTGAACATTCCTTCAACACAACAATAACCGTTATGTTAGAAGAAAAAAACTTCATAATTTTTTTCAGCTATTCTAAGTTTAATTCCTTTGATTTGAGCCATCTCCTATGATTCTACTACTTATCATACGCTAAACTAATTTACCTAAAAATACGCAAGTTTGCCAATTGCACAGTAAAATAATTGATTTCAACATTCTAAGACGTAACTAAAAGTATTTATAATTATAGGTAGGCCTAAAGTTATCCCTGGTCTTATATAGTATACAGTACATTGTAGAATTGACTGGCAAATGACTAATCCAAATGTAATATTGCTTACTGGTTTGATTAATCACGATCAGCTGTATTGAAGTAAACAAAAATCAGCAGTAAATGGCTTCTAATGCATTTCTTATGGAGAACATTTTATGTTATATCCAATTTTGTGTAAGAATTTAGGGAATTTCACTATTTTTCCCGCCGTCACAGGATCGAGACCTTTAATTTGAGCCCTCTCCTGTCGTTCTACGACTTCCCAGTCGCCCACAATCGGCTTACGTAATTAACATATGTAGATAGATGACCGAGATGAATGTGTAAATAGGTAGCACATGGAAATACAATTTCTTGAAAATCCTGAACAAATGTGTATCTATTTTTTGTAGGGCCAATAACAAAACTTTTCTTAAAATTGATTTTTGGGTTTTTGTTTACTGAATTACAAAAAAAATTTCTACCTAAGAAGCTTTAGCCACCGAATAACCAGTATAGAAGAGCCTCACTGATACCAGTCCGCTAGTTATGGTTAAATCCAGGAATTTCGTATCTTGAATCCTGAATTTTGAATCCTAACCTTATCCTCAAATTCCTATTTAAAAATAACAATCCTCATCAAACATCAGGGTTAGTTTATTTCCATTCAAGACTAAATCCAGACTTTTCAAGACTACTTTTTTCAACAATTAGTGATGTGTCAATACCAACATTTATCGATTCTCGATACAGATACCTGAAAAATCTCTTCTTAATTTTCGATAGATAGGTCCCTACCGATACATTTTCATTCAGTCCTACCAATTTTCTTAATGAATTTGTTATATTAAACCAACCTCTGTCTAAATGTCATAAAGTATTTTTGAGATAATAGACTATTTTTCAAGAAGAACAAAATTAATGCAGCAGTGCTATCAAGCCTATTTGAGTTTAAACCCTTCTTAACACATTGAATAACTATTATATGAAAGGAAAAAAAGATCTAAAAGAAAGAACAATTTCATTATAACTAGCCAGTAGCCAGCCTGATATTTTCAGTCAAGCCAAACTAGAGGTAATAGCGCGATCACCTCCTGCGGTTGTGGAGACATCATCTTCAACTTCTGGGATCACTGCAAAATCCTGAATATCTTCCTCAGTCACAGAAACATCATCGCTGTCGTTCCCAATCCTGAATATCTACAGAATCGCCATCATCGTTTCCCACAGTCATGGTTGACAATGTAGTCGATTACAGATTCGATTCTTGAATCCTATTAGTCGAATCTTGAGTCCGAATCTTTCCTTGAGATTCGGGCCACATAGATTCTAAATACGGCCCTAGTACTAGTATAATACCCCTACCGCAGCAAACCTGCCTACTAAGCGAGTTTCCATGAATTTATTTCAATTAAATCTATTTAAATAACATTAGGTTTAACCAGTACATAGGTTTGCTGCTACAAGGAAACTAATAAAGTGTGTTTATTAACAAAATATTAATAGCTTAGTATAAAATAAATAAAATTGCCAAGCTTGATCAAAATATATCCATTAAGAAGCAAACAACAACATTTTACAATATTCTCCGTTACCAATAACCGTACAAAATTGATTTGATCATGCTGGTTCGCGAACTCATTCAAGTATATCCCGCCTTACACCAAATTTCATCAAAACCGGGCAAAAATTACTCAAGTTATCGCGTTTACGGTCACACACACACACACACATATAAAATGTTAACGAATTGTGTTTTTGGCCTCTGGGGACATCAAAATGAAAAAATAAATCGGTCCCGGGCCTAAGTCTTACCATGCCACCTACGGTAATAGCTACTTCCCTATGGGGATATTTGCTAAAAATAAAATTGACAATATTAGTAAAACTCCGCTACTTACCCTTGCATTAAGGACAGCCTGCACAGTCTCAACTCTCTCAAAGATTATAAAGCCATAGTTTGGGACCTTGTTCCCATTTTGCCCCTTCAAGTTGGACTTGCTCATTATCCTAAGATCCACGATGGGGCCGTAAGTTTTGAATAAATCCTGCAAAAAAAATTAGTATAATATAACATTAAACTAAATCAAAAATGTACAACCAAGTGAAAAATTGGTTTGTTTGTATAATTTCAATCAGCGGATGTTGTATGTGGGATTATTAAATTGAAATGTCATAAATTGGTAAATTTGTATGCAAACACTCATGAAACTTGACCGTACATAAAAAAATGCCGCTTTCAGTAGGCTACTAGTAATGAAATGTAATATGACAATGATACAAAATGTTTGATGTCGTAAGTCAGAAGTATATTTCTCCATTTTTATTTTAACAAAACCGTTACCAGAGGAGAGCGAAAGGAGCACATTTTCAGCTTTAAACAGGTTGTAGCAGATATTTATATCCTTGTGTTTTCAAATTTAAGTATACTACAACTAAGATTTCATACAGTTTCACTTGATTGTAGCCTATGCATTTACTATTACAGTAGACTTCCTTTAGTTCTGCCGGTCTCAGAAGTGTGCAAAACTCCCTCTAGTTTGGCCGTTTTCAGAAGCGTGAGTCATATCCGATACATTGTCGCACCACAGGTGAATGAACTATGCAGGACTTAAAGTGAAAAGTTTAGTTTCTGCCCGTGGTCGTAAAGTGAACATTGTTAGTAATGTAGCGTAGGTGAAAGTTGTAGGTGTTGTGTGCTCGAACTCTAAGAAAATGTTTTCTAAAATGACTAGCTGAAAAACGTAAACATACTTTTATTACAATGGAACAAAAACTCACGGTCCTCCTAAAGCATCTGGATGGAGAAAAATCTGAGTAAAGCATTTGCAACTTAGAGGTGGTCGGACTAGAGGGAGTCTACTGTAAGCATAAACGCCAGAAAAAAATATTTTGCAAGTGTTATAGTAGTTTGAGTTTTAAGTATATAGTCTTTACGTCCAAATATTTTTATAGTTTAGTATTAATAACGATTTCATCAGACATATCTAATACCTACCCTAAGGTCGTTCTCAGAGGCATTGAGAGGCAAGTTTCCAAGAAACAGCTGATGGTCGTCCGAATACTGTGTCTGGGAGTTAACAGATCTCCGTCTGTCTCCATCAGAGGCTGGTTCTTCTCTTCCACCTACAATAATATGTCACATCTCATACCTGAACTACATGATCTTATAGCCATGCACCACTACAAAATCATCACTGTCTCCCGTGCATGGTTGTGTCATATTCCTGAATATCGATCAGCAGTAATAAATACATCATCGTCGTCTCCTGAGGTACGGAAAAGTTACACCAAGATATCTCTATCGGAGTTATGGAAACGTTATTTAGGTTTTCCACTGTTACAATAACATTATTAAGTTGTCAAAATCAGCAACAAAGGATTACTGTATGCAGGTATTGTAAACCATTTTAAGTATAATACAGTAATCCGGAGGCTATACAACTATTTTAAATAGCGAATTTCTCATATAGGGAATAAGCTATTACCGTAGTACTCATGGTAAGACCTGGACCCAGGACCGATTTACTTTTCCGTTTTGAGGTCCCTAGAGGCCAAAAACACCATCCGCTCGAATTCATATATATATATATATATATATGTCCGTTAGCACGATAACTTGAGCAAAAATGATCCGATTTTGATGAAATTTGGTATAAACCTACATTTATTCTAACGAGTTTGCGAACCAGCATGATCGGACTATGGGAACGGGTGTTAATGGGGGGGGGGGGGGAGTTTATGGGGTAAAAATTGGTTTTTCTCATTTTCAACCCATAAAACATAAAATTTAGAATTTCTTTCCAAACTATTTTGTAGAGCTTAAAAAAACAAATAATTTAGTATATTGAAGCGTTATTATGTGCCTAATGGTTACTGAGTATATTCCGAAAAATTGTAAAATTAAAATTCTTGTTATTAAATAAATGTTATTCTTATGGAGAATAAGTGAACTGTTGTAGTTTGCGTGTTTATGAACATATTTTGATCAAATCTGGAAAAAAACACTTTTACCCTCCTTGTTGCAGCAAACCTAAGTACTTGTTAAACTAATTCTGTTTAAATAAGGAATAAATGTGATATTTTAAGGAGACATTTTAGTGTACCAATCAGGCAAATTAAAATTCTCTCAGACTGCAGGTTTGCTGCAGCGGGGGTATTTAAAATGTTATAAAGGTTTCCCGTGGTCATAAAATCGTTATTAATGTTTTCCACAGTCACGGTAAATAAAATATTGAATATCTCTCACAGACATGTGGACATTATTATTGTCTTCCCTGATCACACAACAAATTCTGATACTCTTCGGTAGTTGTGAAGTCATCATCTAAGTCTTCTACGCTGCAAAATTCTTATCACGTCAGGCGATTGTGTAAATGTGGTATTTTTTGCTACAACGACGATCTTCCGATATATCAGAAGTTCAAACAAACTATTATTTTTTTATAACGTATATAAACATGTTATATTTACAAAAAAAATACTAACTTTATCAAAACTAACCACTTTTGAGAAGAAAATGAATTAGTCTTAGTGGGTTATTTTCACTTGGAAACAAGAACAATGAAATCGTCAGCTGATCCATCCATTTGCTGCTTAGTAATAAAACGTATGTTGGTGTTGCTTTGTTTACTAAGGGTGTTTAAATAAGTTTTTACTTTTTCAGAACATTTTTTTTATTGTGTTTCCAATAGTTTTATGTAGTTTGGTGTTACATAACGTGTGAAATGAGTGATGATTTGAGGTCAAACAAAGTGGACAGGTTATTAGATCTGGAATATAGTGATCTAAGTGACAATAACCTTAGCGATGATGATGAAAACTACGACGACGATGGTAATGACTATTTTAGTCTGAATATGTGGATTATACAGGCGAAAACCCTGACTATCGGTTATTTACCTTTATTATTTGTAAAAAATTTTTGTTAGGTAACTGGAATCTGAAATCATAATATTTTTATGTTCATTACTTAACAACCTTAACCTACAAATAAATTTCCTTTTTTTTGTCTTTTTACAAACATGCATTTTCACAGAGACTTGAATAATACTTTGGACTGCATCTATATTGATTAGCCTACATATTATTATTAGGTTTGAATTGTCATTTTCCAAGTAGTTTGGTTATCCAGCCAAATCGTTATCCAGCTAGGGGCTTGGTCCCGTGGTGGCCGGATACGAGCGGTTCTACTGTATAGTAAAATTCACAACATTTAAATGTTGTTTTGCAATTTTTTTAGTTCTGCAAAGGGTGTTCATCTGAGTTTAAAGTTAGAAGTCACAACACAGACTGTTGTAACATGTCTGAGAATCAAATGATTCTACAGAAAACTGTAATGTAATGAGTTTAAAATTAAGAGCACAGGTTTAAGCACATTGTTATCTAACTGTGGACTCGGCAGAGAGTTTATAGGACAACTACTGTCAAAGATTCTAAAATTCTGATTAAATGGGACAATGACTGATCTGTACTCACCATACTCTCGACTATCCTCAGACAGACTCTGACGAGGGGGTCTGTTCTCCATACCTCGGCCCATTCCCCCCCGCCCTACTGGTCCACTTCCTCTCAACGGACGCATTCCAACACCTCCACGAGGCCCACCCATGTTGATCTCGTTGTTGCGGCTTTCCAATCTTGTCATTGGAGGTGGCTTTAACAACAAATCACTTATTTACTTGATTTTATTTTGATTATTCATCAGGCAATTTTAAAAATAGAAAATATACATATAAATAGATCTTGTATTAAAACAGAATCTAGTTTTATACTGTATTAAAAATAACTATTTAGTCTAAAGAAGCCATCGTTAGCGAGAAAATATAACATGGAAGTAGTGATTCAATCTACAGAATATGATTGATAAGCTACAATATCTATAGAAATTACAATTTTTTATAATAATACTGAGTAAAACTCACTGTGTTTGATGACCATATATGTTTTATTATACAGTTGTCTGATGATAGGTAGGGGTGTGCGAGTACTCGAATCTTCGAGCTTTTTGGTCGAGCTTTTCATTATTCGGCTCGGCTCGAGGCATTTTGAAAAAGCTCGAAGTTCGAGCCGAGCTTTTAATACAAAGTCAAAACACTTAATTTTGGGTCATAATTGAAAACAATGTCATCACAATTCTACGTTGTTCATGCATTCGAGGTTTGATAAGCACGAACCTCAGCTCAGTCAAGACGCAATGATTATCGATCGTAATTTTGAGGAGATAGGAAAGAGACAAACGACCACCTATCACATTGTCTTTCTAACAGCTATTCGTATCGTAATATACAACGCAGTGCGAGTGCGTGATTGGCCTATCGCTATGACGACACACGGTTGCCGTGACAACCTACAGTGCGCACTGAGCACTGCGCCTTGTGTGGGAGGGGAGATTATACCAACAAACAATTTCAGGAATTCTATTTTGGGACGGATGAAAGATAAGGAAGAAACAAAAAGTGGTCACGTGTGCAAATGTAGTGGGCGACACAATAAGGCTGTAAACGAGTATCGTCGTGTCGTTGTTCCTTGTTTGTTTACTTTTTCAGATTTCTTGCGATCCGCCGAAGTTCCTCCGAGCGATCCGCCGAAGTTCCTCCGATGACTCTATCAAACGCCCCTATCTGCTATCTCTCTTTCTCTCTCTCTACCTCTCTCTCTCTAACAATGTACTGATTAAACAGATTGTGGTTGAAGACTTTTCTACTTATAAGTTTCCCTGCAGTTATTTTAGTTCAATCAATCCTATAACCTTTCTAATGTTTATCAAAATAATTAATTATCTGTTTTGTATTTTATTTCCTTTAAACCAACCCCTATATACCATATGTATTTTATAGAATAAAATGTTTGTTTATAAAGTTTGACTGGCCACACAATTTTGTACCTTTTTTTTATTTTGTATAAAGTAACAGTTACCTTGATGATTATATGTATCAATAAGTTGTGCGTGCTGTAGTGAATGCTTTTTATTATCAAAATAAGTAATGAATTATTAATTTTTGATAATAATACATGGGTCATTAAATACCATAATGTGATGTAGTTTCCTATTTGTAACTTGCAAATAATAATAATTGATAGTTAATTCTGGAAAATGAAAAATAGTGATCGCATTCATAAACCTGTTGTCAAAACAGCAACACGGGTGTAAGGGTTTATTGTTTCATAGGGGTACAAAGGACGTGGGTGTTTCAAGGACAAAGTGTTGGGCCTCCCGGTTTAGGCGGGAGGGGTGGCGGTGAGACTGCAAGAAGGGGAGGAAACTGGTTTTGGCTATTTATTGATTAGTTCGCCGACCCTTCTAGATAACAAAATTGAGTGATAGTGTTAATTCATACTGTTCTTTATTTCATTTCTTGTTTACTTTGTGTGTTATTCTATTAATTTTAGTGTTTTGGTCTATTTCCTCCATATGTCAATTATATCTTTTTTAATATAAGTTTACTTTTTACTTGTCTCTCCACCTTTTTGGATCCAAACCAACTATGTTCTTTTTTGATTAATACGATTGATAAAACTAAAATATTTTGTGCATGGAAAACAACAAGAATTATCACGTGTTTTTAAATTTATTTTGTATTTATTTATACAAAATAGAATTAAATATTCATAGTAGTTACAATATACATAATAATGTAATCGACTTGCTAGTTGTTTTGTCGTCATTCAAGGTCGCGTTGCTGTTCTGTTATGAAAGACAATCTGATTGTCTCAGTCTGCACTGCATATCTCGTCAGGCCTTCAATTATCCTTTTATTTCATGCATCTTAATTTAGTTCAGTTGAGTTCTTATCGTGATTATCTACTATTTGTTGTCTTGACAATTCTCAATGTTTTTAAACATATTAAAATAACATTGTGTTTATTTAAACACTGACTGAACATTATTATTATGCACTTTTTGAAGAAAAAAAAAAGTTTAATAATTTAGATAAGGTGACGCTAGAAAAAGCTCGGCTCGAAAAAGCTCGAGCTCGAAAATTTTTGAAAAAGCTCGGCTCGGCTCGGCTCGAGGTTGAAAATCACTATTCGCACACCCCAAATGATAGGTATTTGAAACTAATAAAAAACACAAACCAACTAATTGTTACAACAACACTGATGTATTGTTAACTAGATTCATGTATGTACCGGTGAGGGAGGAGACTTGGATGGTGCGCTGGGACTGGTGTTGAAGTTAGCCACACCACCTCCAGACTTGACCAGAGTTGAGGCATAGGTCTTGGGCTCGTTTGATGATACTAAACAAATAGAAATTATAAATTAATTATTGTGTTCGAGATATTGTCAATTAGGACTAACAATAAGAAAAAACACCTAATAGCCCCATTCTTGGCAGCTATTTAAAAACTTTTTAGTGGCAGGACATTTTATACTTTCAAGTGTAGAGAAAGTAATACAAGTTTACAGAATGGCTGCTGTCATGGCTATTGCCAACTATGAAGTGTTGCCACATATCAAGTACAAAGCATAAATTTATACACACACACACCTATACACAATAGGCCTATTATGCATTTAGCTAGATGCTTGGACAGGACTATCTTAGATTAAGGTTGGGGCAGTGACTCGTCCGTTGGAGCACATGAACCCCCTATGAAATAGGGAACAAAAAAAAAACAATGATAACACAAGTTTATGCTCAGAAGACTATGGTCTATTAATTAGTAGGTTTTAACAAGTTACGCCATGACAAGGTATGTCGGCGTGACTGAAGCGCCTGCAATCTGAGTGCGACAGTACGCACAAACACTACGAGCTGAGCTGCCGGCTATGCAGCTCATGCTCTACTATACGAATGGACAGGTCTATTTCATGCCGGTGGAGAGGAGGTCGCTTCATTCCCTGCAAAGCTTACGAGGAGCTGCTCATTGGCTGATAGACGCACACGTGACTTTGTTGTTGTTGATCTGTCACTTGCTATTGCACTTCACTGCACTAGTTCACTGTGTCACCATTGACTACACACAGAATAGACGTTCCATGTGATATGAAAGTTTGAAGACAAGAAAATAGATGAAGTTCAGGACCATCTCACCAGAGTTTACTAGTGCAAACAGCTGATTGATTTATCACTTAACATAGAATATTGTCATTAGTTGGTGACAATCTCAACAGATTTTTTTTTTTTTTTTTTTATATATAAGTCTATTCTATAGTATAGTCAATTGTAAGGTCCCAAATTAGACCTCGATTCAATTTTAAATCAGAGCGGGAAATTTTACCGGCAGTGTTCACCCGCCGCAATAGTAGCGTCTTAAGGACGTAGTGGTAGGGGTAGGGCGAGAGTTCTCCAGGACCTAGGATCAACCGGCACTCGATTGGCCGGCGTGTAGCTGGTCACTTCCCTCTCTTGGCTACTCCCTGTTAACCTGCTCTAATTTACCAAACCCATTGGGTAAAATAAACGTGGACGTCGTCCCTATTCTGGACGATCACCAACTGTAAGTACTCTGGGTATTAAATATAATTAAATTCACTATTATTATTTTTTGCTGTTATATTCCTTTTTGGTGGAATTTATAGGCCAAGGTAGTTTCGAACTAAATAGCTAGATAGGTTATACTCTTAACAAGACTAGTTTCGGGTATTGTTAGTTGTCTTCTTGAGAATTAGATTGATTAATTCTTGGTGTAGACTAATAGATGCCTACTACCGTATTTTATTAAATTGAATTGTTAGGGGACGGGCGAAACAGCTCACGTCCATCGATAGTAGCTTAGCTCTACACTTGCCATTAACAACCATATGTTAAAGAACGTATTCTATTACTTTTGTTATTAAAATTTGGTGGTTAGGGGACGGGCGAAATAGCTCACGTCCATCGATAGTAGCTTAGCTCTGCACTTGTCACTCATAACCATAAATTATAGTTGTTACAGAACGTATTTTATTTTGTTAAATTGAACTACTAGGTGGCGGGCGAAAAAGCTCTGCTTATATTACTTCACTTGTTACCAATTTAAATTCTTATTAGGTGACAGGCGGAACAGCCTTGTCGTGATCCGTCCCGTCGTGTGGTCTATTAATTAATACCCATCTATTTAGATTAATTCACTTAAAATTGATTTAAACCTGAGATATTCCCCACGTCACACCCGGGTGAAACAACTTAGGGAACCTAGGACGTAGTTGTTAGTCGTGACAATAATTTTCATTAGTATTCTTATTTTTGATTTTATTGGTTTTTATTAAAAGGTGAAGTGACCTTTTTGGAAGTAATTTTATTTTGGTGAGCGTAGGTAACGCACTAGAGGTAGTGTTGGTTCACGGCTAACCTACGGTTCTTTCCTTTTGTGACGCTTGATTAGCCTTTTTAACTCAACATAAATGATAATAAAAACACGACCGGGGATTAATTGGCTTTAATTTGGGCAATGATGATGACCAATGATTTAATGAATAAATGATCAAATCCTATGGTCTGAGCCCAGCCAATTAATAATTTAACTTTAACCCTGGACACACCGGACTGTAGCAGATCCGAGGCATATAAGGTGTATTTTTACCCCCAAGGAATTAACACCTTACACAATGGTGTCACTTACGACCTCAGAAAGTGTTGAGAAATACTAAAATGTCACCTGCAATGTTCTTATTTTTTTGGTGGTAGGCCAACTCCGAAACTTAATTTATGTAAAACGTTATTAATTTCCAACAGAAAGGTTTTAATGAAACCTTTTTAACAAAACATATGACAGCAATGAAAAGCTACGTCAAGTCCGATATGTCATCTTTGTAACCCATACTACCCCTCTCCACCCTGGTGTTCCCCATCCACAGGGCCTGTGAACCTCCTAAAATCAATGGTGTGTTGATACCAAAATGTATCGATTCTCAATTCTTGATCCCAAAACCAATTTTTGTACTTTTACCAAATTTATTTTGAGCTACCCCCCAACCCCGCTACCCCTAAACGCAAAATTTTCAAAACTGACCATAATTATTGTAGCCCTTTATATCCAAACAAGTTGCCGCAAACCGATTTCAAATATCTCTAATGGTTAAAAAGTTAAAGAGGGTGCAAGTTAATGTTTTTGCCACCCTCATGGTTATTTGCATTTGAAACGTTTTATGGCGCCATTTTGTTATTAGTGAGCCGATTTTGGTTTTCTTTATGTCAATGTTTATGTTTTGTCAAGACCTGTAAAATGATACCAAACTCGACTGTACTTGTCATTTGAAAATGTTGAGCTACCCCCTACCCACGCTACCCCTAAGGGCAAAATTTTCAAAATTGACCATAATTATTGTAGCCCCTCTCCCTCATATCTAAGAAGGTTGCCGCAAACCGATTTCAAATATCTCAAATGGTTGAAAAGTTAAGGGGGGGTGTAAGTTACTTTTCAGCCACCCTGTATTTGTAACTGTTTACAAGTGAGTAAATGAGTTTAAACGTACATCAACGCAAGATGAACCCTGTTCAGGATGACGCAGTGGAAGTGACTACACCCACATAAATTTTAGTGAGAAAATGTATGCTTTTCTTAATACTGTATAAAACTTAATAGGCCTACTATTGTCTAGCCACTGATTATACCATTGTCCTGAGTGAGAGGGGGGTTGTTGTTGTCCTGGTCCAAGGGAGGAGGAGTGGTGTACTGGTCTTGAGGCTGCTTGTCCTCTATCTCTATGTCTGCTGACTCAGGCTGTTCAGGCTCAGACACAGTGACAGCTCCGTACACAGGCACTGTCTGTGGAGGAGGAGGCTGCATCTGTGGAGGCTGCTGCGGGACGTGGTGGGGAATTATGTCATTGTAAGAGGGAGTGGCAGGAGTAGGCTGTACAGGGGTGGGTTCAGTCACATGTTCCACGTGAGGTGTTCCATTGACAGTAGGCATGGTCGGGGGCAGGGCCGTCTGGTAGTAAGTGCTCTCCTGCTGCTGCTGCTGCTGCTGTGACATAAAAAACAAGTACTGAGTCTGGTATAATATTTGGTTTCTATATTATATTATTATATTGGGGGTTTTTATAGGAAGCTGACCAGTTAATTGGTGTAAATTGGTTGACAGATTGTCAAAATGAAACAACAAGTCCTCAAGATTTATTTCTGGCTAAAACATTTTTAAAGGGTGATGTGACACAATCAACTGAGTCTCCTCCACCATCTCAAATGAATGATTCAAAATGTTCAATAAAAACCTATTCACATTCTCCAATTAGGAAAACACTGGAAATACTTTATTTTTCACAACAAACAACATTAAGACTTTTTTTATGTCAAAAGCAAATAGTTAACTGAACTTGCATTACACACAAAATTTCAAGCTACATACACAAACATTAGAATATTTCACTGTCACTGACAGCATTTTCAACTGGTCTAATGGTGGCAACTGTTTCAACAACACCTTGGACACCATAGAAATGTAGAAAGCTATCTTCCTCAGTTGAAAATTCTGTCAGTGACAGTGAAATATTTTGTGTTTCTTGTGCCAGTTTAAAGTCTTCCCCATTTATTTAAGAGGCCTTGGAAGCTGGAGGCTGGCGACCATATTGGATAATTTTAAACAGCTGCTGAAGAGTTAATTATAATCCAAAAATAGTTTTTCAAACACCAAAGTGGTTATAATGTAAATAGTGATGGGTCAGGACCACTTTTTCAAAGTCGGTAGTGGTTCTTAGCCAAAATTGATTCTCGGTTCTCGGTTCCGATACCTTATTTTAATTTTTTAGGATAGTCTACTTAATTTTTATTTTTTAAATAAAACAGTATTTCAATTTTATAGTATTTTGCATTAGTATAGGATTGTACAAAACTTTTTGTACAAAAAAAACACACTAAAGTAGCCAAACACATTCAAATCAAAATAATGTAGCTTGTTATTTGATGAATTGGTGATGTGTCGATACCAAAACTTATCGATTCTTGAAACCAATACCTAAAAACAATTCTCAATTCCAATATCATTTTTTAAATAGTTTAACCAAGTTTACTGAATGGATTGGTTATACAGTTGAACCTCTATAAGACGAATTTCAAGGGGTACGGTAAAAATTTGTACTATAGAGGTTTTCTTAATAAAGGGGGTCGTTTTATCGAGGTTTAATGCTGCTGTTATTCTTCTTATAGAGGTTTCTCTTCACTCCAAGGTTTTCTCCAAACAATGACTGAGGAATGAGGAGGGATGGATGGGGGTTTCATGTTGAGACAAACTTCTGTTTGTTTTGAAAACTACGTACTATGGAGGTTAAGATTATGAGAAATTCGTCTTATAGAGGTCACGTTCGTCTTGTAGAGGTTTTGTGCTAAGAATATTCGTTGTATAGAGGTTAATCAGTCCTAGCCCATGTAACAAACAAATTCGTCTTATGGAGGTTTTTAACTTAATTAATACGTTGTATAGAGGTGTTTTTAGCATTGACCTATATGAAAGTTTCAAGGGTATTAAAAAAAATTTGCCTTATCGAGGAATTCGTTTTATCGAGGTTCGTACAAACGAGGTTCGACTGTACTATAACAGCCCCTGTCTTTATGAATTTCTATTAAGTATTTTTGATGTAGGCTATTAGGGGTATTTTTTAAGTAAAAAAAAGTATGCAGCAATGAAACATTCTAACTAGCCTACTAGTGTAAACCCTTCTTATCACATCAAATAACTACCATATTTAAGGTACTAGAGGTGTGCCTGTGCCTGCCTGATATTTTCAGTCCAGCCAAACTCAAAGTAATATCGTGATAATCGTCCTATTCTGAGATCACTGCAAAATTCGAAATATCTTTCTCAATTACTAAACCATCATCACTGTTTTTCACGGTCCCGACAAGATCATGAACATCTTTTGTGGCTGTGTAGACCATCAATGTTTTACGGATGGCGGCAAGATCATAAAAATCTCCCGTGGCCGTGTAGACATCATCTTCCACGATTGTGGCAACATCATGAACATCACCGACAGTCATTTAGACATCATAATCGTCTCCTGCGATTCTGCTATCGCGGCAAAATCATGAACATTTCCCACGGTTGCAGAAATGTCTTAGTCGTCGTCCACGATTGGGGCAAAATCATGAGCATCTCTTGCGGCCATGTAGACGTCATTGTCGTCTCCCGGGATCGCAGTAACGTCATCCACGATCGCAGAAAAATCTTCTCCCGCGGTCACAGAAATGTCATCGCCGTCTTGCGCGATCGCGGCAATATCGGTAATCTTTCAGCATTATCGGTACCGACATTTCACCGTTGGTTCTCAGTCCCGGTTCTTTTGCCAAGAGCCGGCGGAATCGACATTCGACGTGGAGACCTATCACTAATAAATATCTAGTATACTGTGAGATTAGAAGTGTTGTATGTTGTTTTGAATGTATTTCCAAAGGAATCCATGGAAGCCAACGGCCATGTTGGATTTGCCTGCCATAAGAGCAATGTTAATTTTGTTATTTTCAAATAGCCGTTGAAGAGTTATTTACTAATTCAAAATATTTTTTCAAATACTAATGTGATTGTAATTTTAAAATCTAGTGTACTACGAATTAGAGATGGACTGACCAAGTATTGAACGACATCAGGACAATGGGTGCAAGTGTCAACTTGGCAGAAGACAGAGAAGGGTGGAAGAGGCTGGTACACGAGGCGAAGAATCAACTGAGATTTGTGGAGCCACGGCAGTAAGTAAGTAAGTGTACTATGAGATTAGAAATTGGCTTTGTAGTTTTTTAATTGTTTTATGAGTTAGAATGTATAGGCTCCAAGCCTGATATCCTCATAAAAAATCGTGAAAACCTAATCTCTTGTGCTCTAGGTTACATTCTGAACTTCTAGTATCTATAAGTATTAAAGAGGATGTTTGTATATATATATATTTGGCAGTGATAAACTCAGACACCGCTAAACCGATTTCCACGAAACTTGGTACATACGTGTAGAATTTCATGGAATAGGTTCATATACCATCAATTTCGTGATCCGTCCAATCGGCTCCCCCCCAGTGGCTCTGGAGTAAAGAAACTTATTCTAGTGTGGTATTTTTTTTATATTTTTTTTTAGTTTTTCATGCCTGAATGAAAAATTATTACAATTTTATTCTTTTAGCTGTTGTTTTGAAATTAGAAATGTTAAGAAACATTGTTTTCAAGGACTAACTCTGTTAGGTGTTCATGTACTCAGGGGTGCCCATCCCCCCTGTGGGATAATTTGAATATGTTACTTTAAAAATGTAATAAAAAGACAAATTTTGTAGTGATAATATTTACATATTTTGATGCACGCACCTTTTGACGTCTTGAAGTCGAGTTGTAGTTAGGGGCGCCCCTGTGATGATGGGAGATGCTTTCACTACTTGCACTGTTACCTAGTTTCGTCCTAGTTCTTTGCAACACTGAATTTAATATAATAATGTGAATGTCCAAAACAATAAATAAAACAAAAAACTGCTGCTTGCTTAACTAAAATAATAATAAACTGGTATTTTAAAAAGGGAAAGTAAATGGCAACTGATGGCCTTAGAATGAGAATTGAATACAGTACAAAGTTACTGATGAACTTGTAGTTTTAAGTTTAGTGGACTGTAGTTGAGTTGAGAGTGACCGGTTGACCGGTAGAAAGAAGGGGGGAGGGAGGGAGAGAGAGAGATAGAAGATATGACAGTCTGTCTATGGAATTGAAACAATTGGATTGGGACTGAACAATATGGAACTGAAATATTCTTCTAAGGCCAAATGGGAACAAACAATATAGTAGAAATCCTTGACATATTCCCCCCCTTGAACCAATCCGGTTCAACAGAAAATAAATGAAAGACAGCTTTTTTGAGAAAAATTAAGAAATAGAGGGGTACAGTAGCCAGGTTTTGAGGTTATTGTAAGGGTAAGCAGGACACCTTAACAGCAGGACGGGTTAAGGATCTGCCTGAAGTCTTGACCTTTACCACTCTCACGGTTCCGTCGGAGCCAGGAGAAACTTCGAGGATTCGTCCCATTTTCCAAGACAGTGGAGGTAAATTGTCATCATGGATAATAACCATATCTCCTATCTTTAGGTTCTTCTGAGGTTTGGTCCACTTGGAACGCTCTTGAAGTGTTTGAAGGTACTCTCTATTCCACCTACGCCAGATGTGTTGTGAGAAAGCTTGAACTCTTCTCCAATGCTGCACAGGTGTAGAGTCTAGAAGATAAGGCTCAATTAAAGAAACTAATGGTCCTCCAGTGAGGAAATGTCCTGGTGTGAGTGGTTCCAAGTCATTGGGGTCAGATGATAATGGTGTGATTGGTCTAGAGTTCAACATAGCTTCTACACGTGTTGTTAAAGTGATAAACTCTTCATAAGTCAAAACTTGGTCACCTATGACTCGATAAGACCTACTAAGTAAGATGATACTTAGCGCTCTTGATTGCGCGTTCCCATAATCCCCCTTGATGAGGTGCTTTGGGTGGATTAAAGTGGAAGGTAATTCTGTTATCTTGAGCATATTGCTGAGTTTCTGGTGATTTCATCAGATCTTCAAAGGTTTTCCGAAGAGTTGAGCTGGTGCCAATGAAGTTGGTGCCACAGTCGGAGTAGAGATCTGAGACTAATCCTCTTCTAGAAATAAATCTTGTTAGTGAGGCAATGAAAGTGTTTGTAGACAAATCGGTAACAACTTCAAGATGTACTGCCTTGGAGACGAAGCAGATGAACAAACAGAGGTATACCTTGATGGGTTGTACTTTTCGAAGTTTGAAGAGTTTCACTGTGAATGGACCTGCATAGTCAACAGCAGAAACGTTGAAACATCTAGTAGGAATTACTCGACCTGAAGGTAAGTCAGCCATTAAAGGGAAGGTGGTTCTAGGTTTAACCTTAAAGCAGCGAACACACTCAAATATTACAGAACGGATGACACTTCGTGCCGATAATATCCAATACTTCTCTTGGAGTATTGCTTGTAGTTGCAGAGGTCCTACATGAAGATGAGA